TTTTTTTCTTCTTATCATACAGCTCAACATATGTTAAGTAATAGTATATGTTTGCAAATTTGTCCGTGCAATTTATTACAAATAAGGCCATACAATAATTATGTTTAAGGCCAATTGCAACTTTTTTAGGCATTGAAATTATTTTTCATGGCTCTATATATGATTTATCATCATGACACCGAATTCAATATTACATATATTATTATCATCATAAGATTCTCCAGCTTGATTAGAATACTTAAACTTTGATTTAATAATTTTGTACTCCATATGTCAACCCCTCCATTTTGTCTACATACACCTGACTTCTGATTTTAGAATATTTACAGTGATTATGCCTCATTTGAAAGTTAGTGAAATAATGTTAAATTATTGAATTTTTAAATTTATTTAGAGATTTAACAGCATTTCGGATATAAGTGATTCGTAAAATAATACATCAAAACAATTATACAAAACATTATTTACAAATTATTATTAATTTACAAACTGCTAATACAATTTGTTAATCAAATCAATTATTACAATCCATTGTAGTTAGTTTTCTGCTATTATTGTTACAAATCAATATGTTTATGCTAAAATTCTTTTAATCTATGATTAAATTTTTATTATATATATATATGCATCCGTTATATAATATCATATTAGAATAACAATTTTTTTTCATGTTTTCAATCCCAAATATTACATATTAAAAAAAAAATAATAATAATAACAACAATAACAATAACAATAATAGAGATTGAGAGGTGAAACCGTGAAAGGGATGTATAGATTGACCTTTGTAGGAGGTGGTCAGCATAGAAAAGGCTGGCGTGCAAATCTCACTTGACACGAGACGCCGTCGTTTTGTGCTATGAAGCATTATTATTATTATTATTATTATTATATTATTATTATTATTTTGGTATATTCAAAATATAGCTGTTAGATTTGTTTTGTCCCATGCAATTGTTCATTCTGCACGCTCTACAAAACCACCAGGTCTTGTAATTTTCACTTTCCTTCACTTTTGTTTTTTGTTCCCTTTTCAAACTTTCAAAAAATTTCAAATGTCTGAAAAAAAACTGAAGCTTCACTTGGTTGGATTATATGTTTACTACATAGTATTCCTAGCTAGATATGACCACTGGCCAACACAAACATGCTAGGTCAAAGTCAAACCCAAACTGGTCTATGGTCAACATACCTTGAACTAAGTCCGTGGTTTGATGGACCAGTTTCGAGCCACATAGTTATGACTTTGGGCCGGTTTATAACTTTGGGTCGGTTCCAAACCAAAATCAGAACCGACGATCCGACAATTCAACTTTTTTTTGTCGTGTATGTCCTTTTTTTTTTTAAATTTTTTTTATTATTTTCTACGTTTTTTTTAGTGTACTGGGCTAGGTCGAAACTAACAATTCATGAACCAGCCTGAACAACCAGTTTACCAAACCAGCCCGGCCCAAAACCATCATTTGACCACCCTATCATAGCATAAAAAAGCTCATTATTACTTTTTTTTTAACTATCTTTTCTAAAAAAATGTCCGAGGTTGTTATTAGCTTTGATTTTCAATGATTTGTTTGAAATTGTGGAGCTAGAAAGTAAATATGACAAAATCTTGCTGTTTCTTAGTTAATATTGACTTAACAACAATGTATGTATTGGTAATAATATGGTTAAAGAAGACAAAATCTTACTGTTAATATGGTCATCAGAGCAAACACAGACAAAGACAGCCAGGAGCTTAATTAAATAATTTTTGCTTCACAATAAACTCGCCTAATACAAATTCGTAGCTAAGATAATAACGGGTTCATTTTTATTTTTTATTTTTTGAATAAATTGGGACTAATTTCAGTTGAGTATTTTTAAAAAAACATCTCAAAGAAATTACTAAACATAAAACATCAATACCCAGAAGATTCATCAAACATAGAAAACAGTCGAACGCAGCCCAGCTGATAAAAAAAAAAAAAAAATACAGTAGTGCATTATCAATATTCCCCACCTGAATTAAGCCAGTTGCTGGTTTTACTCGAACAAAATCCAAGCTAACCACATATATACATCACACAAAAGTAAAACCACCACAGAACCTATGAAAATCGATGTCCGTTAACTTTAAACCAAACGTACCCCCAACACATACATTGTCTTCTTCGTCAAGCACTCGACCTATTATGGGGCTTCGGGCGGACGACTAGACAGTTAAAAATGAACATATAAAACACACATGCAAAAAAATACAAAGAAAAAATAATTCTGCAAAATTATAAGTTATATGTACCTCTTGTGTCTCCGATTGGCGGTTGGGCTTTCAGGCCCGGATCTTGAAATGGGGCCTGCACCATGTCCGTAATCAGGGCTGCCCCTGTCCCCACGGTATGGGCTTGGGGAACGTCTTGTACTGTAATTTCTCCGGTCGGGGGACGAATCTCGGCCTCTACTCTCAGGGCTATAATCATTTCTCTTGCCATCGTCATCCCGTTTTCCATACTCTACCGAAATAACTTGGTCCATGAACTTACTGTATTGCATGTATGAAGTTAGTAGTGCATTCTTGAGGGGAATTTTTTTTTTTTTTTTATTTCCCTTTTCTTCTAGTGATGTATAAAATCTAGAGATGATTGTTGAGCCTTGAAGTTTGAAGAAAAAAATTGCATTTTCTCAACAAATATCCCTTCATAGAGTGCATTTTAGATTATGATGATATACCAAGGGTCGTATGAAAGTAGTAGTCTTCAGTAAATTGACTAACCTTTAAGCTTTTTTTTCCCTTTTTCTTTATTTTCAGTGGAGAATAATTTCATATCCATAGAAAGTAATTTTCAGAAAAAAATAAAAATAAAAATCTTGGAGAGAGAGAGAGAGAGACCTCATGTTAGTGGCTTCTAAAGCACGGGTGGCATCTTCCTGCAACTCAAACTGCACAAATGCGAAATTCTTTTTAATCCTGACATTTAATACTTTCCCATACTGTTTGAAATGCCTTTCGATATCTATGGTGCTCGTGTAGTCAGGGTCAAAGTTGACAACAAACAGAGTTCTCGAAGGCCTCGAGTTGGTAGGGAATCTTCTGGAGCTGTCAGGCCTTCTCCCACCATGCTCACGTTCTTGCTGTGGATCGAATTCAATAAGTATTGTTTAAAAAAAAACGAGAGAAGAAAAGGAAACAGAATAAATCAACATCAGGCAAAAAAAATACCTTACTCCACTCGATACGAAGTCTGCGTCCTTTTCTACCAAATTGTATCTGGTCGAGTTTCCTGATAGCATCCTCTGCACCACGTTCATCTTCCATGTAGATGAAAGCAAAACCTGTAAAAACCCAAAAATGTTCAAAAAAAAAAAAAAAAAATCACACCAGAATGCTTCAGCTGGCAACAAAATGCAAATTATATTAAAAGATGGATCCAGTGAAGACATATAATTTACCACATGTTTGACTAAAAGATTGCTACAAACCCAAACCTCTGCAAAACCAGAGGGATTGAAGAGAAAAACATCCGTGTGAAGCAAAAAGACACAACAGCTGCCATTGTATCCGGAACGAAGATGATAACATATCGTGATATTGAAGACTGAGGCAAAGTCATGAGGAATGCAAAGTGCAATTTGGGTCTGAGGAAACGGAAAGTGTAGAATTGTGGGACCATATCCATTGGCAGATTCATATTGGTTCTTTCGAATTCGAACAAACACAAGGAACATGTATCATGGGCACAAGCCCGAAAATAACGCAGAGAGAGAACCATCCATCGGAGAAGATCATGGGAATATCCAAGTAAATCCTGTACCAAAGAAACTATTGAGCTCGAGGGTTTCACAACAAAAAAACACAATTTTCCCATGACAATAGCCAAAAAAAAAAAAATAAAAAAATACTAGTAATAATAATAATAACAACAAAGCAGAAGGAACAGGTTTTTTGTAATAATGCAATTAAGGCCTCCCCTTAAAGCCAATGAAAAAATTACGACAAACAATGATTTCCTCAACTGGTTTCTCTTATGTTAAGTTCTGAAGGATTAAGAATGATGACTTCTTCTCAGAGTCATAGTAAATATCTCAAAAGCCAAAGATAATAAATTTGTAAGCTTACCAGTTTTCAAATCCACCCTCTCAACCCTCCCATATCTTCTGAAGAGGCGTTCAATATCAGATTCACGAGCATCAAATTCAAGATTCCCACAATATAGAGGCCTCATGATCCAAAAAGTTTTCTGCCAAGAACAAGAATGTTCATTCGCAAATATTTTCCCCAGCATAAATATTTTAAAGAACACGTAGGCTGTAGCTTTAAGTTTAGCCACAAAAGGACAACTCGACTTTAGGCAGAGAATTAGAAACATACTACATGTTTTATCAAAATGCAGAAGAATTAAAATTTTAAAGTTTTTTGCAATAATTTTTTTCTGCATCTACAACCAATGAGGAGTTAAAACGAGATTACAAAGATGATGAAGACCCGGGCATTTGTAAAAGCAAGCATCATAAATAAACAATAATACATTTTCTTACACCAACTACCTGATAAAATACGCACTGGTAACACTAAGTATCTATAAATGTAAACTGGTACCTACCTTGTTGAACAAGTATTTCCGTTAACGAATAAATGATTTTAATCGGTTCTTATGTGGGCGTTATATGTTGATTTCGGATTTATATTCGCTGGGAAGTTGCCTAGAAAATGAGTCTTTTCTTTTATGTGAATATTTCCATGTGGCCAAAAAGTATGCATTCCCACTATCGCCAAACGGCACATTTTATTGGACTAGTACAACTTAACCTCGATTTAAACCTAATGATGATTGACAAATAATTGAGTATGGATCGGGCTCCAGCTCGGGATTTCTGTGCCGCGTCTGGCAACTCAGATGTTGATTCCAATTCCTATTGGTCGTGTTGCCAAATCAGGCACTCATGGGCCATTAGTGGCGCTATTCGCTTCACACCTCATAAGATATCACCACAACCCAAAAGAGCAATTATATGTAAGAAAAGTCCCATGAATCTACTCATACTTTCGGACTTCACTTACTCCAAGAATCAACAATCAAGCTTCACTCATATTATACCCACAAATATAGACATCTCCAGTACAATATGCTAATGAAGTTTTAGGTTCACCTTCAAAGTTGAGTTCTATATGCTACCAAAATCCCCCCTGACAATTCAAATTATTACCAGTAACCAAGCACTAAAAGCATAAAAAGAGATGCAAATTATTCAAGCGCGCCAATTAAAAAGATCAAATGGAGAGCCAAAGAAGAAGATCAAATTCCGCATATCAATGTTGACCTCACAAAAATTGAGCTTCAGCTCAAGCCAAATCGTAGATCTGTTGAGATCGACTAGCCGAGACATAAATACGCACCTTAAAGACGATAACTTATGAACAACAGCGCCGGAAAATCCAAATGCTTTTCTTTTAAAGATATTAGATCTGTAAAGCTGTAGCACTGCAAAAGCATACGCAAACCAATAAACACACACACACACAAACACAGTTTCATATGCAGATAAGTGAGAGAAAAAAGCATCATGACGTTTGTACCTTCGTCCATAAAATATCTTTTGAGCTATTTTCTGCAGTAGGCCAGCCACAACCAGCGAGCAGATGGAGATGGAGCAGATTCATGTAGATTCTGAGCATTGGAGTTTTTTTACGGGTTTTCTGTTGGGCTCTACGGTTTGGGCTAGAAGGGTGCTTGGGGCTCAGTGGCCTTTTAATTTGGCCCTGTTGTCTGCTAATGAAGTTCAAATACCCCTTTCAGGTATCAATTGAGTCCAGTAATTTGTGGACTCTATACAAGACCCAAAAACCTAGGTTTGGTTCGTTAAGGCTCATTAGAATAGAGGTTTTCATGTGATTTTCTGAATTTTGATTATATATTGGCTCGTTAGAGCTTTGTTTGTCCGATTTTTGTGTCTTTATTTTGAGTTTGTTTTCTTCTTATTTTCCCTACTTGTAGGATTTTTCGTAACTCATTTGGTCCATTTCTTTGGTTTTGAGTTTTTCTCGTTAGTTTCTATTTGTGCGTGTTTTTGTTGTCTTTTTGCTTCGTGTTCTTTCTGTGTTTGTGACTTCAGGAGATAGGTTGTGCCGGTCGAGGATGGAACTGCTTGAGCTGAGACCGTGATATCGAGAAACCGATTACGAGCCCAGAATACTGAATGAAGGACTAAAAAAGGTGCCCAAAAATTTTCGCTACTCGCGAGACGGTCACGACTCGCGAGTTTTACAGAGGCTGAAGACGTCGTTCGCAAGCTCGAGTAGCGACTGGCGAGATGAGGTCGCGACTCGCGAGATATGTCGCGACTTTCCCCATAAATTGAAAATTTTGACAATGCGCGACTCGCAAGGATGTCGTGACCCGCGCTCGTGAAATTTGATATGTCGCGGCTCGCGCTTTGTCCGACGCGAAAATTGAGAAGCGGGATTTTAACTTCAGATTTGGACCTAGGGTTCATAATTCACTGTCAGACTGAGTTTTTACACTTTTCACTCTACAGAAATGATTTCTTTTCATTGCTTTTGCACATTGGATTTGTTTTAGAGATTGAAAAACTCCTTTTTCTTCCTTTGGATTTGGATGCTCTTGGATTGACATTGGTTTTTACATTAATCGTAAGTACTTTTTCTCAATTCTTCTATTGAATATGATGACTTGGGTTATTGAAATTTGTGATGTTATATCTGTCATGAGTAGCTAAATCCATTGGCTAGGGATAGGGGATGATTGATTAGGTTCGCTTATGATTGCTTACTTTTGATTGTTCATATCTATGCGAGTTGTATGAATTTTAGGGTTAGTTGATTGATTACCATTCTAACCTAGCTAATCAATGTGTAGAACCGAGAGGGGAGACATTGGTCGACCTAGGCTCATTTAGGATAGACTTGTTCGGAAACGTATTGTCTATGTGTTGATGGAATTGATAGTTTATCGTTTACATTCACTCTCTTGTTACGAAGAGTTATTGAGAGTGAACCTCTGAACGAGAAACGATTCAAGTCTTAACCGAGCAATTGATTGTCCAGTAATTGGGTTAGAACTGAAAGCAATTATCCCCGACTCCCTAGCTCTTTAGTCATTGAGTGAATTAGTTTGCTATTTAAATCATTTTTTATTTAGTTTAAAGTCATTAGCTATAATTGAAACCAAAAACTATTGAATTAGAGTGTTGAGGATCTTTGTCTTCTCTTTTTCGTGATCGAATAATAGTACAATCAAATCCGGCTAACCTTCCTTGCAATACGACCCGAGGAACGAATCTTTTGATTCTACTCCGATAAAAATATTTACAACAAACTTATTAAGGAGCTGAACTTGAGCTCGTTTATTGGTTATTAACTTAGAGAATTGATTAGCTCAAAAAAAAAAAAAATCCCCAAAGTTTGTGGACTATATAAAAAGGCTGAATGCCAACGATAGATTATTATTAACCAAGCTCAAAGCTGTTAAAACAAAACCAGCTACTCATGAACTCGACTCGACTCGACTCATTAAACTCGATAAATAATATTGCCTCTTATTTTCAATATATGTCATTTTGAGAAGTTGCACATTAATTAAGAATATTTTTTTGGTCAATAATAACCTTATTTAATGAAGATAGAGATGAATGTTTTGAGAAAAAATGAAGAGTGAATATGAAAAGACGTAATGTATTTATTAGCTAAATGAGGTAATAATGAAAAAAAGATTCAAAACGACATTTATTTGATTAACAGTGGATAAAGTTAAAATGACATTTAAAAAATAAGAGGGAGTGGTATTTACATAGTTTTTTGAGGTTTTATTATATAGGCTCGTTAATGAGCCGAGCTCAACTCAATTAAAGCTCGATACCAAGCTAAAACATAACCAGATTTATTATATGGAAGGTCCACAATATGTGTGTGTGTCTAGGGGAAAAGCCGTGAGATTTGTACAGTGCCTTTTAGCCGCTAAATTCGGCGCCACCATAGTAGAGAGGGTCTTAGCTAATAATACCCACTTTTTCAGATATTATAATCCTTTGATTGGTGAATTATCATTTTTAGTGAATGATTTAGCCACTTTTTCAAATATTTAATCATTTGATTTGTGAATGATTATCGTGATTATCTATCTAATTTGGGCTTTTCTTGTTGTTTTTAGTTTTAATTGATGTGGGGATTATTCAATCAGTGATTATTATTTTTTTTTCTCAAAAATAACAAATTTTTCACCTATTTCTTGGAACTTTTTTGTGATTCTTTCTACCGTGGAGCTTGTGACCACTTAAAACACTCATCATTATATATTGGTTTTCCCAAATAACATTAATCTTGATCTGGGCACTCTCTAGTTTGCCAAGTCTTTCATTCTTTTAATTTTTTTTTTTTTTTTAAAAAAAAATCTTCCTCCACATACCATCAAAATTGAAATGAGATGGTCGAAAAAAACAAAAACAAAGGCATGCACTGAATCCAACAAATTGGAAATCGGCAGTACAAACACAATACATGATAATTGATTAGGTAGTAATGTATGGAGCTGGTAAGAATGGGAATGGTGCAACGGAGGCATATGCTAGTGGTGGTCGGGTTGGGATTGTGTTCTTCAGAGGGTGGAAGGAAGATGAAGAAGAAGAAGGATCATCTACATCTCCTTGTGTTACCTCAGGAAGATGATGAAGTACAAGTCCACCCATAAACACAGGAAGATAAAGGAGGCTCGCATGGAACATTCTCCTTGCATTTTTTATTGAGCGGTTTCGAAAAAATGATGTTGCAGTCCAACTGATTGCAAGAGCAAGTGCTGTGGACTCAGCAAAGAACCACCCTGAAGTGATACCCCCTGCACATAATAATTATTGACACACCGTCTGTAAATGAAACATCACACATATATTATATCTAAAGAAAACTGTAACAATGGTCTCGCTTACAGTCATAAGCCAGATACCCCAATGGAAGCAGATAAAGACAGTTCCTCAGAGAGACCAGGGCTGTTCTACGACCACAAGAATCAGCAAGTGAAAACATCTTGAACCTAATATTGAAAACGAAAAAAAAAGTAAGAGTTCGTTTATATAGGACACAAAACTATTTTAAGATATCAATCTACCACCAATTAGTCAAACCGAAATTAACAATTGGTAACAACACATACCCTCCATCTGCATAATCTTTGCGGCATAAGTAAGCAAGAGCCATAAAATGAGGTATTTGCCA